TGTGTGTACACCAAGCGTTTACAGTGTTCAGTGACATGAGTTCTCATTTAGTGGAAGTAGTCGCTGCTACCGGGTGGACGGTCTACCCGTGTTTAATTGGTATAAACAGTCATTCTGTCGGAGATGTGGATTTAGCTAGAGGAGATCTGGTCATTGTGCGGATGCAAGATGATTGCCAAGTGCTGAGGTCTTCGAGTGCACTTTTGGCAGCATATGACGACGGGGGCTCGCATGGCTCGATACCTTGCGGGTGTCATCGTGAGTTTATGGCAGATTGTGATGTGATCGTGGTGGTCGTTTCTCTCAACTCGGCCTCGATGGAACAGATGGGGAAGTATTACGCTTTCTTGCGGTCACAGTTTTTCCGCTTGCGCAGAGAGAACACGGTGGCAGTTTTGGTTTCCTTCTTCCTCTTCCTCTTCCTCTTCCACGCTGTATAAATTATGATCTGAGCACTGTTCAGAAACTGGGGGGGAAAGCACAAAAACAAAACCTGCAGGTAATGGTACTCGGTCGCAAGAATTCGTCACGAATCGTCTTGGCGGCTTGGCCTTTTTGCATTTGAGCAGGGATAGCACCCAGTTTTTGGCTGTCGTTTGGGCACGACGCTTCAACTCGAAAAGGATTGGAGAAGAGGGGCGCTTCTGTCGCTTGATGTGGTCACCTTGATGTCTCCCCCACAAGGAGTCGGAAATGCAGCTTAGAAGAGGGATATGTACAATCCCACTTTGTGAAATACTTTGGCCTTGTTGTTCCTGTTGTCAGAATGATTGAACTCCATTCATTGAGGTCTATCGGGATTTGAACTTGGGTCTGCATTTCAACAGTTTGTGGGTGAACCAACTGAGCTAGGCTCATTGTTGTGGTGTTCCTGTTTCCGTTGTGAAACTGCCGTCTCTTCCTGTATGGATCAGAGCATGTAGACGTGTTTGTGGTCCCCACAACCCGTTCAGTCACGTAACAGACACTGGCGGGTAGGTCGACAGGATTCATTGACTGGTTGCCCAACTAGCTCTGTGTATTCTTGGGGTCTCCGGGCTTCAGGGCGGCGCTCTGAATATAGACGTGTTTGTGGTCCCCACCACCTGTTCAGTCGGGTAAACAGACACTGGTGGGTAGGTTGACAGGGTTGTGGTCCCCACCACCTGTTCGTTGACTGGTTGCCCAACTAGCTCTTTGTGTTCTTGGGGTTTCCGGGCTTCAGGGCGGCGCTCCGAATACGACCATAAAGAACGTTAGAACCACATTGATTCTGTGTGTTTTCTTGGGGTCTCAGTGTTTCACGGTGGCACTTTGAATTGAATACTACCATAAAGAACGACATTGATTTCGGCTCAGACGATTAAAGGTATCTCCTGTGCTTGAGGAGCAATGGGAGGATAATCATGCCTCTGAATGGTGGGAGAGGCATTGGCTTCCACTCCATGAATGACATGGTTTAAGGGCGCGGGCAGATATGCGATCCAGCTGATCGACCTCTTCTTGAAACTTGACGATTGGTGCAATCGGTGTGCTAAAGAAGGCAGAGATAGAGGCATTGGCTCCCCCTCCTAACATCTCTGGCATTTGTGGGCTATTGCAAACTTTTGGGCTGTAGGTAGGTGACTGGTATAAACGAGAGGGCAAGGCCGTTGACCCTCTATTCTCAGACAGACGATCGGAAACCTAGGTGGTGCCGCAAGGGGATATTGGGAGAAAGCCCCCTGAGGTGTGCCAGGAGCGCAGCCAGGCCGAAACGCTTCGGGGAAATTGCGATGAAGTTTCATGCGGAGAACTGTACACATGAATGGCATGCGACATGGGGAAATTGCGATGAACTTCCATGCTGATTGACCTCTTCTTGAAACCTGATGATTGGTGCAAGCGACCAAGCAAAAGGAGCACATGGGACGGCCAATAACTGCTTCTTGATACCTGACGATGGCCGGAAGAGATTCAGTGCTATGTTTTTGTTTGTGATAGCGTTGTTGTCGTACACGTTTTGTTCGCTCTAAGGGAAGGAAAGAAAGGACAGTGGTCACAGCTGGAGTGATCTTCTTGAGGGTTAGACTCCATTGCTACACCACTTCTCATCTCATTACGGTGATCGACAGGTTCTGGATCTGCTATGTGTGCTGCAGAAGGGTATCGCTGTCTCTCCCCTCTCTCTCTCTTTCCTGCATTCTCTTCCGGTCTGTCCCGGTGACCGGGCTTCAGGTCAGGTCAGGTCAGGTTTGCGGTCAGGTGTCAGAGCTGCTTCAGTGTTGCAGAGAAGGAAGGTGTTTGTGTTTTTTTCTATTACAGTATGTTTGGCAGGATTTCCTTTTTCGAGATATCGCATGTTGTGCAGATGGCCATCATTCACAGAAAGGTGTAGCAAGATGGTGCTGATCTGCTGACCGAGCACCCATGGGGGAGCGGGTCCATAACATGCTTCGTTTCTTGCTCGCTGATTCCCTTGCGCTCTCCGTTGTTCGAGCACTGTAATGGCAACGTCCGCTGCTTATCAGATCGTTTTGTGAAGAAGATTCTGACTGTCTTGTTCGTGAGGTTTGCACATGTAGACGTAGGCCTTTTTCACATGCGGTAGACACAGTCCAGGAAGTGAGGCGAGGTGATGGTAGTTTTTCTTTCGTCCTAAGTTTTGTGAAGCCAGCGTTTCATTTCTCCAAAACGTTTTAGGGCTCTATCGAAATCTCCAAATGCATGCTTCTTCGACTCTCAAGAAATGTTCGATTTGACACGGCAACTCCTCATCGAAGACTCAGCAGGAGGCGATCGTCAGAGTACTCCAAATCTCCAAATGCCTTTTTGGTAAATTCATCACCATCTGTCGACTTCGTTTGCAGATTAATTACATTTAATTTGGTTATCTTTTGGTATGAATAAGTGCTTCAGCTTCTCAAGCCTAGCAATTAGTGTTCCTGTTGAGTGTGAGACTTCCGGAGAGGATAGCACCGATGGCGCAGTGCAAATAAAGTGTGTGTCGCGAAGGCTGCTGCTGTGTTATGTTGACGAGCCTGTAGTTGTGAAGGAAAAGGGGCGCGCTCAGACCTTGTCAGTTTTCACCTCAAGGTCCATGGCTTACTGTTACAGTATGTAGCTGTGTGGTTGTAAAGGTTTCTCACATGCTTATTGTCACATGAAACCATGTGCAAGTGTTTCATTGTCATTCTTTTTTTTGCCTCCGGTTTCTTGACTGGCGAGTTCTGAACCTCCTCCTTTCCTCTGAAGTCTGTTTTCCAAACCTTTCACTGCTTGTGTGTGTGTGTGTGTGCGTGCGTGTGTGTGTGTGTGTGTGTGTGTGTGTGTGTGCGTGTTTGTCGAGTGTTGTTGTGTGTTATTGTGTGTTGTTGTGTGTGTG